AAAAAAAAAAACTCCAGCCTGGGAGACAGAGACTCCATCTAAAAAAAAAAAAAAAATTAACCTCTGAATTGAGATGTACTGTTAGTATTAAAATATCTGATTCCAAAGGTTTAGTATTTGAATAATATAACATTTCATAATTTTAAAATATTACATGTCTCCATAACATTTTGGATATATTAAAATATATTACAAATAATTTCAACTGTTTTTTAATTTGTAAATATGGCTCCTAGAAAATTTAAAATTACATATTGGCTCACATATTTCTATCAGACAGCACTGATTCAGAGTGCCATGAGGTGTAGGAGGTGAGAAACAGGCTGGAGTAAGTCAGAACATGCAGGGCTTTGCAAGTCATATGTATTGGGAAGCTGTACATTCAAGATAGTATTGGCTGGAAGCCTACTAAATCCCAAGCACTAGTCTGGTCATTTGGGATATCAGTAAATGACAAGTTTCCTGCTGTCACAGAGGTTCTATATTTTGGAGGAACTGTGTGTGTTGGGAGTCACAAAACAATAAACAAATATATACAAACACTAGAGTATGTAGGGAGAAGTTAAGAGCTATGGGAAAATTGAAAGGTTGTGCTTGTAAGAGTCCTTAGGAGTACTTTGGGCACGGAGTGAGGGGTATTATCATCTGTTAAAATACGATATTTGGGGTTGACCCACTAAGGTGATTCTGGAGCAAAGATTTGGAGGTGCTGTAGTGAGGCCAGGTGGTTATCTGCTGGGAGAGTTTTCCAGGTAGAAGGAACACAAACCAAATACTCTAATGTTAAAGGCAGGAGGAGGCCTGGTGTGTTCTTGCAAAAGGGCTGGAGCAGACTGAGCGAGAAGACAGTAGTGAGAGGAAGTCAGAGAGGTAGGAGGGCAAGTGCAAATCACATGAGGATTCATAGGCTATCATAAAGATGTGGGATTTTAATACAAGTGAAATAGCATTTTGAGCAGATCATTCTGCCTCCTGGGTTGCTTGATCTAGGGAACAAAAGTAGATGCAGGACCTGTTAGGGGTTATTACAGTATCCAGGTGAGATGAGAGTGGCTCAGACTAGGTTGGAAGCAGTAGCTGTGGTGAGGAATAGTCAGTATCTTGACACATTTGGATGGTAAATAAATTTTTCCTGGTTTGAATGTGGGTTTTGAAAAGAAGAGTCAAGGACTTCAAGTTTTTAGTCTGAAGAACTAGAAGGATGGAACTGCTAGACTGAGATGGGAAAGCAGGTGTAGGGGAAGTTGAGGAGTGACCACGAAGGAACAAGTGAAGATGGAGAAGTCCAAGGATTGAGCCCTAGGGCAGGCAACGTTAAAAGATCAGGGAGAAACCAGCAAAGGAGACTAAGAAGCAACAACCAGCAATGAAGGAAGAAAATCAAGAGTGTGGTGTCCTTGGAAGTGAAGTAAAGAAAGCTTCCAAAGAAGAGGAAGGGGTCAAGTGTATCAAATGTGGCTGATAGGAAATGAAGGGTTAAGTGTGAAAATTGACAATTAGTAAATCGGCGACCTTGAGAATCTTGGTGGTGCTGAAGGTGGTGCACTGGCAAAATCTGAAATGAAGAGGACTAAGGAAAGTCTGGAGAAGAGGAATTGCAGGCAGGAGAATCAACTCAAGGGACTTTATGCCAATGAAAAGCTTAAAAATGAGACAGCACATAGAACTGGGGTCAAGAATTCAATGGGAGAAATAAGCATATTTGTGTGCTGAAAAAGTGATTCAATAATAAGGAGAAAAATGATTATGAAAGGGGTAGTTACTAGACTGATGTCCTTACTAGGTGAGAAGCATGGGGTCTGGTGGTGCATAAGAGAATGATTAGGGAGAAACACCTATGACAGTAGTTCTAAGTGGGACCAGCATCATCTGGAACTTGTTGGAAATGCAAATTATCAGGCCATGCCCCAGATGTCCTGAATCGGCAACTCTGGGGTGGCGCCATGCAACCTGTTTTAATAAGCCCTCCAGGTGATGATGATGCATGCTCCCGTTTGAGAAGAACTGTCACAGATGGTAACAAGAGGGAAAACAGTTTGGGAGAGAACAGAGAGGGGGTCTTGAAAGTGTGCTGCTGATGTTTCAGTTCTGTCCGTGAAGAGGGAACTAAAGTCACCTGCTGAAAGTGAAAATGGGGAGGTGTTTGGGAGAGCTGATGAAGGGTTTTAAGTAGGAAAGAAATATAATCAGATTTTTATTTACACAAATATTTGTTGAGCTTGTGCTAAATACAAGGAAAAGAGGCTCCTAAACTGATGAGTTAAAAAAACAACTTCCTGTCTTTACAAAAGCTTACAGAACAGTGAGGGAGGCACATGTCTGTTAAGAGAATGACAGCTCCTAAACAAAGTTATCATTCAAGGCTTTCTCCTAAATAGTTAGATATACTTAACCCATTTAAGTATTACATATGTGGCATGGTTTTTTTCAGTCCCTTCACCCTTCTCTTGGTGCTTTTTAGATAGTCATCCTCCTGAAAGCATGGTGCCCAGAACTGGATACGGTGCCTCAAGCATAACCTATCAGAAGTTAAGGCCAAGAATCATATATTTTATCTCATGTTACATGAACTGCTATGAAGCTAGGTCTCCTCTAGTATCCACTCCTTAAAATATATACATTAAAGGAACAGTTGCCTACGGTGAAAAGTTCAACCACTATAGAAAGGTATGAAGTCGACAGTTTAAGTCTCTTGATTCATCCCTCAGAATCTATCAATAAGTTTCTTTCCAGAAACTTTCGGGAAATATAAACATCCTATCTATACATCACCACAAACTTATACTTATTTTACTCTATGTATTTTTGATTTCCACTGTTGTCATGAACATTGTTCCATACTGGTGCATAAACAGATATCTATTCTTTTTGACAACTTCACATTACTTATTTGAACTGATGTACCTTAGTTTATTCAGAACATCCTATGACCCTGAGAATTTTAGTCATTCCCAAGCTTTTGCCTAGAACAGTTCCAAGATGCACTTATATCTGCAAAATATTTTTAGGTATCAAATGTAACCTGCTGTTCCAGCCTTTTTCAATCTTTTTGGTTAACATTCTGTATATAAACAATTCAGGCTGTCATCTTTTTTTTAAGTTTATTTTTATGTTAAAAATATATGTTTGTAAATGTCAAAATTAACCAAGCCCTGACACCTGACAAGACTTACAAGAAAGGAAAATCACAGACCAATCTGTCTCATGAGCATAGATGTAAAAATCAAACAAAATATTTGCAAACCAAATCCAGCATTATATAAAAGGGATAACATACCATTACTAAGTAAGGTTTTTACCAGGAATGCAAGATCAGTTTTTTTTTAAAGAATCCACATTAACGAAATAAAAGAAAAAAATCAAGATTTTTTCAGTAGATGCAGGAAAAAGTACTTGGCGAAATTCAAGCGCACTCATGACACTCTTGGCAAAATAGGAATAAAAGAGATCTTCAATCTGATAAAAACATGAAACAGAAAAAACTTATAGCTAACATATTTTAATAGTGAAAAATCAGACGCTGTCCCCTGCTGTTGAGAGTAAGACAAGAATAACAACTCACACCACTTCTATTCAACATTAGGTTGAAGGTCCTAGCCAATACAACAAAGCAAAAAGAAATAAAAGGTAAAGACTGGAAAGAAGAAGTAAACTGTTGTTAATCATATATGAAATGATTGTGTACACAAGGTATCCCTAAGGCACTTGCAATAAAATAAAAATAAGAACTACTACTGAACTAACTGAATTTAATAAGATTACAGAATATAAAGTCAATATAAAAAAATAAAACGTATTTCTGTATACCAGCAATAAACTTAAAAATGAAATTAAAGTACTATTTACAATGACATTTCCACAAAATATTTAGGAATACATTTAACAAAAGATATACAAGACTTCTTCACTAAAATTACAAAACATTGCTGAGATAAATTTTAAATTTTAAAAGACCCAAATAACTGCAGAAACATACCATGTTCATGGATTGAAAGGTTCAATATTGTAAATTCTTCCCAAATCGACCTAAAAATTCAGTGCAATCCCAATAGCAATTCCAGCAGATTTTTTTTCTTAAAGAAAAATGGACAAGCTTAATATAAACTTTATAAAGAAAGGACCTGATAGCCAAAACAATCTTGGAAAAGACTGCAGGGCTTAACAATACTTAATTTCAAGACACCATAAAGCCACAATAATCAAGACAGTAGAGTGTAGGCATAAGAAGAGACACAGATAAATGACATAAATAGATCATCCAGATCCATAGATAAACGGTAAATTGATTTTGACAAGGGCACACAGGTAATTCAATCAGTAGGCAAAGATTTCTTGGAATACACAAAAAGTACCAACCATAAAAAAAAATTGATAAACTAGGCTTTGTCAAAATGAAACACTTGTTCTTTGAAAGATATCATTAAGAAAATGAAAGGGCAAGCTAAAGACTAAGAATAGTCACAATACATATATCTGAAAAAGAGTATATCCAGAATAAACAATTCTTACAATTCAATAATAAAGCAAAACAATCTAATTTTTAATTAAAAATATTTGTACAGATAGTTCACAAAATATGTGAATGGCCAATAAGCACATGAAAAGAAGTTCAACATTTTCAATCAGAAAAGTGCAAATCAAAACCACAGTGAGATATCAAAATAGACCCAACAGAATGGCTAAAATTAAAAACGCTGACAATACCAAGCTTTGTCAAGAATTCTTGTAAATTACTGGTGGGACTGTGAAACCCTGTCTCTACTAAAAAATACACAAAAACTAGCCGGGCGAGGTGGCAGGTGCCTGTAGTCCCAGCTACTCGGGAGGCTGAGGCAGGAGAATGGCGTAAACCCAGGAGGCGGAGCTTGCAGTGAGCCGAGATCCGGCCACTGCACTCCAGCCTGGGCGACAGAGCGAGACTCCGTCTCAAAAAAAAAAAATTACTGGTGGGAGTGTAGGCATTTGCACAAGTGAAAATATGTTCACAAAAAGACTTGTAATTTCATGCTTATAGCAGCTTTATTCGTAAAATTCCTCAAATGGAAACAATTCAAACATTCATCAACAGGTGAACAGATAATCAAGTTGTAAGATAGGCATATGACAGAATACTACTAGGCACAAAAGGGCACAAGCTAGAGATGCATGCAACAACATGAGTGAATCTCCAAAACAAAGAAATAATGCACGCTGAAATTGTCTTTCTGAAGAAATTCCCCTCATTCTTCTGGATCCCAAGGTTCTCAAAGGCATAGCTGGCAACAGGCCCTGAAACGGCTTCCTCTGGACTACCCTACTAGTCTTGGTAGATTTCCTCTATCTTTGGCATTCCTTTTTTTCTTCCACGGTCTTCATTCACTGCTGTCCTTCTTGCCTATCTTGAATTATTCTATACTATTATGAGGACAACACAGGTTCTTCCATGTTGAAACTTCAGTTCTTTGCCTTGCTGGGCCAATACATATATTGAGCCGGATTCCATGCACACTGGTGTTCCAAGGTGCAACAATCTTCAAAACATTTGAGGAGTGTATTAGTCTGTTCTCACACTGCTGTAAAGGACTACCCAAGACTGGGTAATTTATAATGGAAACAGGTTTAATTAACTCACAGTTCCACATGGCTGGGAAAGCCTCAGGAAACTTACAACCTTGGTGGAAGGCGAAACAAACACGTCCTTCTTCACATGATGGCAGGAAGAAGTGCTGAGCAAAAGGGGGAAAAGCCCCTTATAAAACCAACAGGTCTTGTGAGAACTCATTATCATGAGAACAGCAGCGTGGGGGTAACCACCCCCATGATTCAACTACCTCCCACTGGGTCCCTCCCACAACATGTGGGGATTATGGGAACTACAATTCAAGATGATATTTGGGTGGGGACACAGCCAAAACACATCAAGGAGGCACTCTAGAAATTGTGGCACAAACTCCTCAGTCTGTGACTTCCTAACCCAGCAGATGCTCCTCGAAACCTTATCAAATTGTTTCACTGGATAAGTGCTGGCTAAATGCTTGTTGAGAAAATTAAAAACATGTTCAGGCCACTGTCACAAGAATGAATAATTATTTGGAAAATACGTGTTGCTGTGGTCACAACCATGTCCCTGAAGTAACAGCCAGAGAAGAGGCTCCAGGAGCATCCTGTGGATGCCAGAGCAGGCTCACATGGCACTTGCAGGGTGGCTGGCTCAGGGCAGGTTGGGGGTCACCTTAGTCACTCCCTCTTCAAGGAAGTTCGCTGTCCTCTGCTCCTGAGGGTGCCACTGTCCCTGAGTTTTCTTCCTTGAACCAAGCCATGGTAGCTACCTCTGGCCCTGCACAGCGACTCATGCTAATGAAGGGGGCAGTGAACAGGGTACAGGTCATAAGGACCATGACCCTCGGGGACCACAGGGCCAGGATGTCACTCTCAAAACCATGAAAATCAATGCCAAACACAACAGCAGATTATGCCAACAAAGGCTTCTATGTACATGCAAATCTATTAATCAGTAAGGGCTAAGTCACTAAACTACAGCTTCTCATGATACTCACCATTCATCCTTTGGGGAAACCAAAATGCTCACAACTGACCATGGTGTTCACTTAATATACTAGCTTAAATAATAATTAAAAAAAAACTAGTACAGCATCACAAGTGAGAAGTGTTCCAGGAAGTGTTCTTCAACAATATCCTCAAGCATAAGGTATGAGGAAAAGTATATTGGCTTTGTGTAAGGCATGAATGATTGGGTGAAAGAAAAGAGTATACTGCATTCATTTGGTTAGTCTGAAAATGATGTTGCTAGAGAAGGCTATTTAATCAAGAAAAGTACCTCTGCAAGTTGGAGAGAACTGTACTTTCTGAACACAGCAGGAAAAATGCCCATATTTTTGCCCTGACATTCAGACACCTACTAAGAATGAGGAAAAGTAAGGTACCATCTATGTACCATATTGTAGCGAAAACAATCACAGGTTACAGAGCTAGAGAAGCCTGGGTTCAGGTTCATTAAGTTCTCTACGGATTGCTAATGGATAACCAGAGTTGAAATTTAATACTACATGAGGGAATCCAAGGGTCATAATCATACTTGACCCAAATGGCTCACACTAATGACTCAGATTAATAATGGAGAGTAACTGTTTTGTTTACAGTCAGCAGCTTATTATCTTGAAGTCAATCTCACAGACACAAACAAACACATTGACTTTACAAACTCTTTAAATAAAAGGTTCTGTATCCGGATCCTTAAGTATCCTGTAATAGTCTACAGTGAAAAGAAAATAATTCTGAGGAAAAATATCTCCCCATGATAAAAACCTGAAGAAAACAAAAAGCCATTTTTATAAAATTAACAATAAAAAAGAGTTAAAAAAGCAAGCTTCCACTTTATTAAAAAGCAAAAATCACCAACTCGTGTAAAATAATTTAACTCATAAAAAGGAGAATCAAACATTACCTCTTAAAATATCAGACACCATAAAATGTGCCTTTAGTCTTTTAAACAGTTTGCTTTTAGACTACCTCAGTATTAAACACCTAGCTCTTCTCAGAAAGCTGTTGCAAACCCAAGTATTGTTCTGACTGTACAGAAATCAATGATCCTCTTCTTTTGCAGAATAAAGATGTAACTCCCTTAAATGACATTCACCTTAATATTACCGTCTTAAATTCTGCTTCATTACCAGAAACAATGTTTTCAAGAACTGGATCTTTCTAAATCCATTTTTATTTTTACAACAACTTTACTATTTGATTATATTCATTGTAGAAAAGTGTGAAGACACAGAAAGATTCAAAGAAAATAAAAATGATCCCAGTATCCCTCCCCTAAATACAATAACAAGATTATATATATATTTCTTTCTAGTTTTGTTGTATATTTACACAGCATTTAAAAGCAAAACTAGTACTATAAAATGCTACCGCATCCTTTTTTCATTTCATATATAGAGCAACCATGTCTTTTTAGGACATTAAAATATGCAAAAAGGATTTTCAGTTGGCTGATTCACAATCTAATTATAACTAAGACATAATTTGCCTCCAATTGCTGGGTATTCAGATTGTTTTAATTATTTGTTATTATAACTATCATTATTAAACACCCTTCTTTATATGTAATTCTTTGTATGTATCTCTGATACGGTTTTAAAGAGAAATTCCTAGATGTAGAGTTCCCAGCACAAAGTACATCAGTATTTTTAAGTCTTTTGATGCATTTTACCAAAGCGCCCTCCAGAAATACTGTACCAATTTATAGTCACATCAATAAATAACCAAAGAGTCCCATTTCTTCCTCATATTCTTTGGCAGTATAGGAAAGTAGAGATTACCCTCCAACCTTTATTGTTGCAAATTTAATAGGGGAAGAAGATAATGGTGGTTTTTTTTTCCCTCTAAAATGTAATATTTTTTCCCACATGTTTACTGATCATTTGCTTTTCTTCTGTATTTTGAAGTTGTCCAAGTCATTGAGGAGTCTCTAATACACACAATGTCTTGTCTTTCTTACAACATGCTCTTTGACAGGCAAGGGCATGAAAGCTGCATGTCTTTCCCATATTTTTTTCAAGTTAAGCAGGAATTTCCAAAATGACTGGAATTAGAATGTCTTCTTTTCTCCTGGGCAGTCATGCTACTTTAATGTCTTGGTAATAAAACAGAAAACTGGGCCATATTCTGAAAGGAAGAAAGGAGGCAGTGATATTCACATGTAGGCGTAATTACTGAGATGTTTGTTAAAAAAAAACAGATTTTGATTTTCTAGATCAAAGTGAGGACTCAGGAAACATACACTTTAAATAAATTCTACAGATAATTTTCAAGTTCACTAACCAGATGTGGAACTTTAGGTACTCTAAACTCTTGGTTCCTCACCTCCCTTTCCTGTTAAGTGAGGTTAATAATGCTTATCTCAGAGCATTGTTCTGATAATCACTAACTGCCACACCAACCCCCAGCCTGGATTATTGTTTATGCAACCTCTATCCCTTATCCTTATCCCACTGTAAGAAATCATTGAAATTTTTATGTGTCTGTATCTCCAAACACCATAGGATCATCATCACAAGTCTTTAACTTTGCAAACCAGACCTTGACATATAGTAGGTGCTAAGTGTTTCTGAAATGACTTAGTGAGTGAATGAATGATATATATTTCAGTGCTTAGAGGACTAAAAATACCACCCCAGAATAAGGGATTATTAGTATGGTGTTCCTTAATGTTACAGAATGAAGGCCAAGATTCTCAGTTTTGTCTAGAGCAGGAATTCCTAATTTTCTCTCTCTCTCTCTCTCTCTCTATATATATATATATTTATATCTATCTATCTATCTATCTATCTAATCTATCTATCTATCTATCTATCTATCTATCTATCTATGTATCTATCTATCTATCTATCTATCTATCTATGTATCTATCTATCTATCTATCTATCTCATAACCCCCTTTGAAAATCTGATGAAAGTTACGTAAACTAAGCCTCTTTAAAAATGCATACAAATAAAACCACACAATTTCAGAAGCTCCAGGAAAGGAGAACACTGATTTCTACTCTCCAAGCATTTTTACTTAAAAATAAAGCTAAAACAGTAAATATATTACTTGAGAAATTAACTTCAAGCTTTTGAAAGACTATGGTCAAAGTGGGGTCAGTTGGGAGACTTAAATAAATGAACTTGGCTGGGCGCAGTGGCTCACGCCTGTAATCCCAGCACTTTGGGGGGCCGAAGTGGGTGGATCACGAGGTCAGGAGTTTGAGACCAGCCTGATCAACATGATGAAACCCCGTCTCTACTAAAAACACAAAAATTAGCTGGGCATGGTGGCGCGTGCCTGTAATCCTAGCTACTCAGGAGGCTGAAGCAGGAGAATCACTTGAACCTGGGAGGCGGAGGTTGCAGTGAGCTGAGATCGTGCCACTGCACTCCAGCCTGAGTGACAGAATGAGACTCCGTCTCTAACAAACAAACAAGCAAACTTCTATGACATTTTGCTAATAATAGTATGAGTCACATTTCTGGCAAACCAACATGCGTTTTTTATGCAAGCTCCAGTTGTGCCACTTGACTGCACTCAAATGTATTTTTTCCCTTTTAATTCTAATAATAAGGGTTTCCTGCATCTCTATTATGATAAAACACTTCATGGGGGAAAGGGGATATCATTTATTCATTAAATAACATTTAGCTCCTAGGTATACAGTGTTGAAACCAATAGATTTGTTTCTTAGTAGGAAAGATAAACTACAAATTCCAACATTCCTGACTGTCAGTCCTAACTGCTGAGAGACACCTTAGTTACAGTGGTGTGCTGGATCCTGTTCGTACCAGCTTGCAAGAGCTGACTGTGTGTATCACTTCTCAACTTGTCAGTGGCTTCACATTAGTAGTGTGAAATTGGCCGTACTGGAGCACTTGTACTATGTAAATCAGCAAATATTACAAATCAAGGGTCTGCCATGCCCAGTGATTGGCAGTCACTTACCACCATACAACGTCCTCATTATACTAAAACTGTGGCTCTCTTATTCCAGAGCTCCTAGGTGGTAATTCAGGTAGGGAGGGCTTAGATCAACCTTTGAAATCCTCTCTCCACCACCGCCAGAAGACCCGAAAGTACAGGTGTATTCTAGGAGACTTCGAGGTATGGTCCTCTTTGCATAGTAGGGGAATGCAATATCTGATCAGTTTGAGACAAGTCTTTCCCTATGTGGTTAAGAGTCACAAAGTGCCCAAACAAAAATCATGCAACTCTGAGTTTATCAGTTAGTTTAAATTATATTCTGAGAATTAATACTAGAGTTGGAAAGCTACCAATCTACAAACATCCCAGAGGTATCATTAATTACTGTTTACTTTGATGCATGATTAACCTTAAGTAGATATTTTCTGACACCATTTTGGTACTATTGTCAGAATTTTGGCTTTAAAGGATTGCCACAAATTTGAATGGATCTGCCAAAGAGAAAATAGCTTTGTCAACAATGTAAGCAATATGCAGAGAAAGCACTATCAGTCTTCTGAAGTAAGACTTAGGGATATTACAGAGCAGGATAATGTGAAAATCTGGTACACTAGATAATAAAACTCTCTCAATGGTCTTGCATTACCAGCCAGAAAATATGACTACTCAATTTCACAAGTGGTTAGTATGGTAGTAGATGTCACAAAAACTTGTTGAAAACATCTAGGGCATAAAATACATGAGGACCAAAGGTGAAATGCATGTAAGAAAAGAATAGAGAGTCTACAGACATGCCTGATTGTACATGGCTGACACTTACCTTCAGGTTATGGAGGGTTTCTGACCATTCTGTGGACCCTATCTGAGGTATAGTAGTCAGCAGTAAGCTTTTGGCTTTATTAGCATTTTCTTTCAGGGTCTTTAAGACCCGGTCCACCGAAACCTAGAGAAACAATAGCACTGGAGGTTACTAGAACTTAAAATTCCACTGCTTGTCATAAAACATTTTTCTGAGTTCCAGCCTTGCTATAGTCTAAATGTTTGTGTCCCCTCAATTTATCTGTTGAAACCTAATCCTCAATGTAGGAGATTTGGAGGTTGGGCACTTGGGAGGCAATTAGGTCATGAAGGCAGAGTCCTCGTGGATAGGATTAATGACCTTACAAAAGAGGCCCCAGTGCCATTCTTCGAGGGCCCCTTCCACTGTGTGAGGTTCCAGTAAGAAGATGGCTGTCTATGAGAAAGTGGGCTCTCACTAGACACCAAATGTGCCAGTCCCTTGATCTTGGACTTCTCAACTTCCAGAAATGTGAAAAATAAACTTCTGTTATTCAGAAGCCACCCATGTTATGGTATTTTGTTACAACAGTCCAGAGTAAGAAAAACATGACTTGTGAAGGGTTTTTATTCTACATTTAAACCCCTGAGTTCAAGTTCTGCATTTATCAAGATGGTCTTAGTCCTAGGAGACCTAGGGAGGTCCCGGAGAAACTCAGTGACATCTCTGAAAAGCACTGATGAATTTTGATATGATTTGGATCTGTGTCCTCACCAAATCTTATGTCGAAATGTTGGAGGTGGGGCCTGGTGGGAGGCGGTTGGATCATGGGGTTGGATTTCTCATGGTTTAGCAGCATCCTCAGGTGCTGTTCTACTGACAGTGGGTTCTTGTGAGATCTGATTGTTGAAAAGTGTACAGCACCTCTCCCCTCTTTCTCTCTCTCTTGCTCTTGCTCCCACCATGTGAGATGCCTCACTCTCCTTTTGCCTTCCACCATGATTGGAAGTTTCCTGAGGGCTCCCAAGAAGCTGAGCAGATGCCACCATCACACTTCCCGTACAGCCTGTAGAACCATAAGCCAATTAAACCTCTTTTCTTTATAAATTACCCAGTTTTAGGTATTTCTCCATAGCAATGTGATAACAGACTAATACAGATTTCAATATGGTATCTGAGAAAATATCTCAGATGTATAATGGGTTAGTATGGTCTAGAAAGATGTGGCTGTTCTCTTCATGTCCACAGTCGAATGGATTACAATGTTAAAACTGTTGCTACACTGGATAATCCAAAAGAAGTATGTTTCTCCTTAGAAAATTATTCCAGCTAATAAAGAAAAATATTATGGAATTAAAATACCACCATTTTTATGGCTCCCAGTGAATTAATGGATTGGCTGCTAACATCACAAACAGAACCAAACAAACAAAATCCCAAATAAACCACTCATTATGTGCTTCCTGATGAAAAAATAAAATGCTACCTTAACACACCTGAATCTGATTAAATATCTAAATCTAGCTACCAATTTATAGACAACACAGAGGACAGAGAAGCCTATTAAACTACTCCAAGGAGACGATTTCAGCAATTCAGACTGTGGGAAACTCAACAGGACAAATGATCTGGTTCCTTCATAAAAGCTTGCAACCAAAAAAATAATTTAAGGCATTTAACAAGAAATTTAAATTTTGGCTGGGTATATTAAAGAATTATTATTGGAGAATGAAAATGATAATGTGCTCATGTTAGATACCTCCTGAAGTGTTTATGGATAAAATTATTGATGGGAGCAATAATCATGTTGGTTGTAAGTTAATATAATGGTTGAAGCTAGATGCTGAATTTATGGAAGCTCGTGCTATTGGCTACTTCTGTATATGACTAAAATAGCTTCATAAGAAAAAGTTGAAGAAAGTGAATATAAAATTACCATCAAAGATAGAGTACTTGACATGCCTTCCTACGCTTCGAAGAAATCCAACATTCAGGGACACAAGGATTACACCTTTCTATTTCCTTAAGTATAGTCCAGACCCTACCCAGCAACACCAAGATGTGTGTAGGAAAAAATGATGAAGACTGCAGCAGAGGGGAGTCTGCACCACTATGGGAACACAAAGCAGTGACAGGCTGGGTATCTGCCAGGTACACGTAAATGATGTATTTTAAGCTGAGTCTTTGGATGCAGAGACATGAAGCATCCAAGAAATTTGCCTTGTATTTACTTATTTCCTTATATATTTTTCCTGTGACTGGTTATTTCTGTATAGATACTGACCTCCCTTTTCTTTGTTCCAGCTGTTGGGCTTCACCCAAAACATCCTTTCCACAATAAACCCTCTGTTCAAGGTGCAGTTCAAATGCTTTTCCCCGATACTACCCACCTCTCAAGTCCCCCTACTCCATCAGAGTCACTGTCTGATGACCACCCTCTTATGAGCCAGCATTATACCAGTTGTTTTACATATATCATTTGGTTTAATTCTTCCAGTAATCCTTCAAGGTCTAACTGACTAAACAATGACTAAACAACCTCCACTCCTCACCCAGAGCCCTGGCTTCATTCTATAGAAGAGTAAACAAGTGAAATAACTCGCCCAATGTGACAAGCAAATGGAGCAACTAGAATCTGAAGATGGGTTTAGAAAACTCCAAATCCTTCTTGCCACGCCAGGCTGCACATCTGCACAAAGCACAACGATACACACGATTGGCTGAAATAATGCCATCTTTATGTGGGCCCTCCTTGTGGCATTTAACACTGTCTTCAAGCCTTTCCACTTACAGAGCTTAATTTCTCTGCTTTTCAAAAGTAGCTCCAGCTGACTATTTCCCCAACCTCCTTTGGCTACTAAAGGAAATCACTGCTGGTTCTACAAAGGAGGAGACATATGTTATTAGACTGAGCAGAAAGCCACAGGCAGGAAGCAAACCGCTCTCAGGGTGTGGCAGGGGCTGGAGTTTCCTATTAATTGGAAGCAGCTTCTTGACATTAGGAGGCTGAGTTGTTCCTTAGGTTACCAAAGCTGCCAAATAAGATACTATGTTGTGACTTAATGTAAGAATTTGCAAATCTCTTACATAAAAGGCATCCTAGTACTAAGCAAACAGTCTATTACACTGAGGAGTCATCATAAGGAATTCATGAAAAACAAAGAACCTGTGTTCATCTACGACCCAAAATACTGTACACATGGATGGACAGATGGCAAAAAGATCTAACCCCATTTTACGTGAAATTAGATAGTAAAACAAACAACTCTCTAAAACAGTGGTACAATATTAGTCCTCTTTGGAGACGTCACTTACCCTAAATGTGCTCAGAAAGGTCACCCCTAAATTTTTTCCCTACTTCAAAAGTGACTGCAGTTTTGTCCCTTTATCTTAAAATGAGATAAATGACAGGACAAATGATCTAGTTTCTTCAAGTAATACAAGGAATAAAAAGAGAAAGAGGTGAAAATCAGATTAAAAGAGACAAGAGGTATATCATTAAAATACAATGTATGGATTGTAAGGGATTCTGATTTGATCAAATTGTTAAAAATTATGAGACTGAAGGAAAAAGGAATAGTCTGAATAGTTGATTATATTAAGAAATTAATATCACTATTTTTGTACAATGATGGCATGGTTATAACTTAATTTTAAAAAGACCTTTTAGGAAAATATTTACTTCACAATGAGGGCAGGGGAGAGGGAATTAGGTAGGGACGTACCTATGACACAAGATTGGCCATGGCTAATTGTGGAACCTAAGTGATGGGTACCTGGAATTCATTATATTCCACCCTGTACTTACACAGATGTTTAAAGTTTTGTTTTGTTTTGGAAGCTGACATTGTTTCAGTGTCCTCAAATTCCAGCTGGATCCTGCTGCCTTCTCTGCCTGAACCCCTCACTGAACTTCCATCTGAAACCCTTACCATGGTCTATAAGGCCTGGCCTGGCTGTATTGCATCCCTCCTCTCTCTCCCTTCTCCCCGGTCTCCCTCCTTTCTACTCTACTCAATCATGCCCTTCTTGCCCATCACACTTAAAACAGGAAGGCTTCTCATACTTCAAATATTTAGTCTGGTCAACTCTATTCAGTTGACCTACTGTGCCCTTGTACCTCGCCATTCTATTTCTTTATAACCATTAGCTTTCTTATATTGGTTTGCTTAACTTCTATCTCCATTAACAGAATGTTGTCTCCTTAAGGACTTGTCTATTTGCTGTCACATTTCTATGCTGAACGTAGTATCCAGCCACGGTAGGTTAAATAGATGGATGTGAACATACAGCCCTCTCAGGAGGAAAGGGTTAAGTTATAGATTTTTTCCTTCTTGAAAACAAAAAGTAGCACAGCAGAAGAAATTGGCAATCAAAATACACCTTTATCCTTAAAATAAGGACCAGGTCATAGCATGATTCTCAACACATCTACATGCCTACAATGTACTATTCACTGTTAATCCTTGGGTAAAAGTGTCTCTTTCTTTCCTATGATCTTTGTTCTTACCTTCCAATAGGAACTATAGAAAATGTTGACAACTTAAAACCTTGTAGAAAGGCACTTTCTGAAACTAATGTAATAGAAACAAACAGTTAAGACATCCTCTTATTGGCACCCAGAAACCCATGCTATATGTGCTCAGAAGAGAATTCCACCTACTGCTTCCTCATGCTCCTTCCAGCAGTCATAATCTGTCGCCATGGCGATACTTGCGTAACAGATTCCAGCCTCCTTAGCAAGAACCACCTCTGGAACTGTGGTCATGTTGATTACATCCGCCCCCCAGGTGCGGAACATGAAGCTTTCTGCCCGGGAGCTAAAACGAGGTCCCTCGATTGTGACCATTGTCCCCTTGGAGTGACACCGGAGTCCTAGCTTCTTAGCAGTCTCTATAAGAACCTAGAAAAGAAAAACCAGAAACTTCAAAACATACAAGCACATGCACAACTTAAGGCTGCATTTCCCCCCAGTGTTTAACAAGTTGATTTCTTAAAGACGATTTGTCACCATAATAAATGCCTACTATCTGCCAGGCTCTCAGAAACAACATAAAGGACCACAGAAGGGTGTTTCCCGGACCCTTTCTCATTTACATAATCCTCTTGTTTCCCCACCCTTTGCACATAGAAACTAATAGCTACACAAGTGAGCACCCAGCTCTTTCTACTCACCAGACATTTGTTTACATGCTTTAATCTCATCTGCTTCTTAACAACTTTAAGAGACTAAGCTGGTTTGAGAATACAGACTTGAGTCTTAACTTTCAACCTTGCAGGCTAAGCTAAGATGCCTCTCATTGCTCATCTTCTCAAACAGGTGTGTTGAGTTCTACTTCCAGGTTCCTGAAAAGTTAATTCTCATTACTTTTAAAAACACAGAATCTGAAGACTTCTGTAAAAGCTTTTTCTGGTTAGAAAGTGATTTCTCTTTTGCCTACTGCCTTTCCACAGACTTGTGCTGACTGTTTTTCTATCCAGGGATAAACATCTTGGAATTCCTTTAGCAGCAAGGTTAGGCATGGGTTTTTAGAAACATCATTGAAAAGTCTGATGATTTTCTCCAGTGTTTTATTTAATACTTCACATCTAATCTTCAAGTTATTAATTACCTTCATTTTTTCTTAGCTTATGCTTCAATATTCCCTTTAAATTAAAAAAAGTCTTTTCAACTTAACTGTTAACTTACTGAAGCACTGTTGAAAAATCATCTCTGTATGCCTTAGTTTTCTCAAGTGTAAACTGAGAATAATGATATCACATAACTCAAATGTATGAGGAAGATGAAATGAACTAAGGTATACACAAGCAGAGAAGCATGCCAGGTACGCTGTATGCACTAAGCTGGTCTTCTAACAATTATTAATACTGGCAGCTTCTACACATATTTGGCTAACCTTCCTGGGATACTCTATAAATAAAGTGGAGTGACTCAAAGTCAAAGTCTCCAATCTGGGCAAAGTCTCACCTGCACGTGTGCTCATTACATAAACAAATTAACTTATATTTCCTTAAAAAATAACTTACACTATGCCACTGCAATGGGAAACAGAATTTTAACAAGAGTCTTGGCAACTCAAAATTTAGCAAGCTATGGACAATGAACAGTTGATGCTACATCATGTTTATCTTATAAATGCTGAAAATACAATTATGCTTAATTAACACTTTTCCCTAAAAAGTGTATGTTACAAATGCAAAAGTCTAAATCTCTACCCCACCCCCTTTTCCCCCCAAAATTAAGACATACCAAGCCCACTCCTGCTGGTTCAATAATGTCTTTAAAGATCCCGAATAACTGAGTTGTATGCCTTGGCTAAAGTTCAGAGTGCTTCTAGAGATGAATGGCTCTTGACAAGTCCTCATCGTCACTCTGGCACTTTGGGAGATAGGTACCATGCTTGTGAGGAGGAGGAAGAAATGGAGGCTATTAATATGTGTCAGCCACCTGAATGAGCATTTTGCACTCCTTTAAGAACAGCTAACACTATCTTAAGGTAGCAAAAAATATCAAATACAGGGTCAAGGTCCAGGTCTGAGGTTAAGATGATTTCATTTTCTTACTTCGTGTAATCACTGTGAACTACTAAAAAGACGGATGTGGTGGTGAAACTACCACAACCCTCACCAAGGAACTAGCAGTATTAGATCACCAGCCTAAATAGATTTACTGTCAGGACTTTCATATTAACTCCTAAAATGAATAGAAGTAACACTGCTTTTGGAACACATATTTGTACATGGTACAAAACTTAAATAGTACAAGTAAAACCACTGTCCTTTCCCAAGGGAAACCACTATTACCAGGCTTTTTTTTTCATTTCGATAGTTTTTGGGGAGCAGGTGGTTTATTGTGATATGTATAAGTTCTTTAGTAGTGACTTCTGGGATTTTGATGCACCTGTCACCCAAGAAATGTACATTGTACCCAATGTGTAGTCTTTTATCACTGATTTTTTTTTTTTTCTTCCCCACGAGGCCCCAAAGTCCATTATATCATTTTTTTTTTTTTGAGACGGAGTTTCACTCTGTTGCCCACGCTGGAGTGCATTAGCGCGATCTTGGCTCACTGCAACCTCCACCTCTCAGGTTCAAGCAGTTCTCTGCCTCAGCCTCCTGATTAGCTGGGATTACAGGTGTCCGCCACCACGGGCAGCTAATTTTATTTTATTTTTTTTGTATTTTAGTAGAGACCTCTTTCACCATCTTGGCCAGGCTGGTCTTGAATTCCTGACCTCCTGAGCCACCCACCTCGGCCTCCCAAAGTGGTGGGATTACAGGCATGAGCCAACGCGTCCGGCCCCATTCGCACCTGGCCCCATTATATCATTCTTATGCCTTTGCATCCCCATAGCTTAGCTCCCACTTACAAATGAGAACATAATGATATTTGGTTTTCCATTCCCGAGTTACTTCACTGAGAATAATGGTCTCCAACTCCATCCAGGTTGCTGCAAATGCCATAATTTTGTTCCTTTTTTATGGCTAAGTGGTATTCCATTGTATTAGAGTTCTCTAGAGGGACATAACTAATAAAAGGGAGTTTATTAAGTATTAACTCATGTGATCACAAGGTCCCACAATGGGCCATTTGCAGGCTGAGGAGCAAGGAGAGCCAGTCCAAGTTCCAAAACGAAGAACTTGGAGTTTGATGTTGGAGGGCAGGAAGCATAAAGCATGGGAGAAAGATGTAGACTGGGGGACTAGGCTAGTCTCTCTTTTAACATTCTTCTGCCTGCTTATATTCTAGCCATGCTAGCAGCTGATTAGATTGTGCCCACCAGATTAATGGTGGGTCTGCCCTTCTCAGCCCACTGACTCAAATGTTACTCTCCTTTGGCAACACCCTCACAGACACATCCAGGATCAATACTTTGTATCCTTCAATCCAATCAAGTTGACACTTGGTATTAACCATCACAAGTCCACATGAATCCATATACATCTCCTGAGATAATAATCTTCAAATAAAGACAATAAGGTCATAATTACACCTAACATAATACAACTATCCTTTGTGCAACTAGAAATGCACCAGACACCAATCCAAATACTACTACATAAAGTTAGCAATATTTAAATGTTGATGTGAAGTCAATAAATCTTATGTCATATGATAAAGGAGAAAGAAAATAAAATGAAGATATTTTCTTAGTACAATTGTATACATGCACAAGCGTGTGTTTAACAAGAGGAGGAGGAAATACTCATGACAATTACAGTCCTCATTTCCGTAGCTGGTCACAGGGTTGCAGCTGGTATCGATGACTACCTTCTTCTACTACCCATTCTGTATTCCCTTTGCCTTCAGCAAGCACCTCAGTAGGTTGTGGTTTTTTTCCTGGTGGAGTGACTGAAATCTTCATTCCTGAAGAAACTGGGTCATTTGTAGTCCTGCCTGGATTGCGCTGTTGTAGTTTCCCAATGACCTTAATTACAGGGCAGGGTAATACTAAGAGACACCCTAATGGATCTCCTGTATTCCATGCATACTCTTCTTTACCTCCATTGGGGATTAGTAGACTGATTTCATCTTGATAGTCCGGGTCAATCACTCCAGCCAGCACTGTAATTCACTTCTTAGCCTGTTGACTTAAAGGTAGGAGGAGCCCAAAGTATCCAGGTGGCAAGGATGGAGGCTATGCATGGGCACAGCAACATGCCTTCAGGACCTGCTTGAGCCTAGTCATATATATATATATATGTGTGTGTGTATATATATATATATATATATACCATTTTCATTTGATAACTGAATGCTGCTGTGCACAACCCACTTTATGGCTAGATGAGTGAGAAAGCCCCCAGTTCATGATAGGCAGTTCAGGTGGCATGGTGACTTGATGACCCATAGTCAAATGTTCACTTTCCACCAAAGTCCAGTAACAGGCCAAGGGCAGTCTCTCAAAAGGAGAGTAGTTATCTGCAGAAGACGGCAGGACCTTGCTCCAAAATCCTAGAGGGCCTCACTGTAATTCACCTATGGGGGTCTGCCAAAGGCTCCAAACAGCATCCCTATCTGCCACTGACACCTCAAGCACCATTGGATTTGCGGGGTCATACGGCCCAAATGGCACAACAGTTTGCACAGCAGCCTGGAACTGTTGCAGTGCCTTCTCCTGTTCTGGACCCACTCAAAATTGGCAGCCTTTTGGGTCACTCGATAGATGGGCCAGAGTAACACACTCAAATGAGGAATGTGTTGCCTCTAAAATCCAAATAGGCTCACTAGGCCTCTTTCTTGTGCCTCTTTCTTGGTTGTAGGAGGGGACAAATGTAGCAATTTATCCTTCACCTTAGAAGGAGTATCTCGACAGGCCCCACACCACTGGACCCCCTAGAAATTTTACTGAGGTAGAAAGTCTCTGAATTTTAGTCAGATTTATTTCCTGTCCTCTGGCATGTAAAGGCCTCACCAGTAAGTCCAGTGTGTTTGCTACTTCTTTCTCACTGGATCCAATCAGCATACTGTCATCAATGTAATGGACCATTGTGATATCCTGTGGAAGCAAAAAGCGATCAAGATCTCTCTGAATAAGATGATGACACAAAACTGGAGAGTTGATATACCCCTGAGGTAGGACAGTAAGGGTATACTGCTGGCCTTGCCAGATGAAGGCAAATTGCTTCTGGTGGGCCTTATGGACAGGAATGGAGCAAAAGGCATTTCCAAATCAAAGGCTACATACCAGGTACCAGGAGAAGTGTTAATTTGCTCAAGTAATGAAACCACATCTGGTACAACAGCTGCAACTGCAGTCATCACTTGGTTAAGCTTATTATAATCCACTGTCACTCTCCCCAAGATCCATCTGTCTTCTGTATGGGCCAAATGGGAGAGCTAAATGGGGATGTGGTAGGAATCACCACCCCTGAGTTTTTCAAGTCCTTAATGGTGGTACT